AGGCCAAGCAGTCAGTTATTTGCTTAGTCCTTTGGATTTTGCAGCCCTGTGTCTGAGCAAGGGTTTTGGTAGTTTCAAGACTCATGTCACCAGAAGCACATCATTCCAGTAATATCTGCACATTCTCAATTACTGCTTTTTCAGTGTTATGCAATTCACTGTCCAAGAGTTACTGCAAGTAAATTAGTTGTTAGTTTTATATATTTCAGGAGCTTTGCATTTTAAAGAATAGTACTTCTCTTAACTAAAGTTTCTTGATATGCCTGTATGCTTATTTCCAGTGAGCAACAGTAGGAAGTGTATTTAGGCAATGGGATACAATGAATCATCTGATACAAACATGTTTAGGTATGTTAAACATAAAAATAATTAGCTTGCCGAAGACCATTGTATTCAACAATAACAAAACCCATATTCACTAGGGATGAAAAAGACAGGGAAAAAACCCTCGCAAATTCTAACTGTATTTATTTTCACAGTGTCAAACTAGTGAGTTTCTCTCACTGGAAAACAAAGGCTGAGCTTCCCTTTACAGAAATGGGGAAAGCACAGGAATACAGAATGCTTATTGGGATATGTGAGAACTTCAGAAAATACCCTCCTATTTAAACTGTCTCAACACAGAAACAAAAAAACGACAAAAACAACAAAAGTGAACTTATTGTAAGGCAAGGCACCAGTTACAGAAATGTCTTTGCTTTGTTTTCAGCATTAGCATTTGTAGTCAGTAAGTATCCAGGACAACTGACAATCAAATGCAGCAGCAAACACATTATTCCTTTGCATATATTTTAGAATAGAAAATGTCATTTTAATCACATGTGCTGCAAATCCTTGGCCAGTATTAAAATTGGCCATTTGATACAGTGCAACTCTTCCTTCTTTGAGTGGTGTGTTTACAATTCCCTTTTGCAGTGTTAAAGTCAGAATAAAGAAATAATCCATACATGTCAAACTAAATTAAAACTAGCATTTTTCTTCTGAAAACCTCCATAATCTAGAATTGGCTTCTCTTTAAAGTCACCTTTATCTTGGGAGTCTGCATAAATGTTTTAAATTTACTAGTGCAAGGCTGGTTATTATTGAGGAGAGAATAACAGAGCTTTTACTGATCATTATGAAAAGTTACTGTGGATTGCACTAACATATGTATTTGTTTCACTCTGCTCTCATAGATTATGAATTAGAAATAATAGCAGTAATCACATTTCAGAAATGAGGATGTAGCTACAAAGCCTCCTAACTCCCACTGCACCAGTGTTATAATCCAATCAAGTTAAATAAATTGCTTACTTTTAACACAACAAGTAGAAAGGAAAAAAATAAAGAAGAAAAACTAAAATCTAGAATGCTTCTGCTTTCTTAAGATTCTTAAAAGAGATGAACAAAACAGCTCATTCTGCAGTAAGGTTTGCATTTGGGTTTATGTTTTTAACATAACTTTTATATGTCATCTTTTTTTTTATTTATTATTTTATTTAACATTCCATGTTAGAAAACTGGAATGCCATGATTCTTGGTAGATACCTGCTGCTTGTTTGCAAAGCACCACTACATTCTAGCATATATAAATGAAGGGAAATAATGGAAAAGCAATCCTAAGTAAAGCACAGTAGTGGAAGAAAATTATGACACAACTGCTAATGACAAAATAGCTTTTACTAAAAAGCTTCCATGTCTGGATTCATATGGACAAATATGAACTTTCTGGCTTTTTCCAGAACTTCCAATATATCTGCTCTTTTTGGAATATCAGTAAAAAAGGGACAAGAAACTAGGTAAACTGCAAGATGCTGACAAGAGATCTCTGCTTTTGGCCTTCCACTGGACTGCTAGTTTTGGCAAATAGCTGTGCTAGCTGCAGGCAGCTCATAAAATCTTTGTCCTCTGGTAACAAACAGTCCAGAAACAAAACCATACTTACTTTCAGTGTCAGAGATCATGAAAAGTTTGTCATTTTGACAGAGCTTCCTTTCATAAAACACTTTCAGAATGGGTTGGCAACATCAGCAAAATGTTTTCAAGAGGACAGAAAGAGCAAATGAACACTTGCATTAGAACATTTTTAATAATGTTTGGCTTTCAGTAGTTGGTTTTCAGTATTCTGAAAGACACGACACGGAAAGGAGGCAATGCCTAAGAGATTCCTCCTTCTCTCTTCATATCTATGAGCCACTGTGAAAAGTACACCAGCCTCAAATTTGCAAGTGTCGTTTTGAGATGGCTAGTAGATGAAGTAGTAACTTAGAAAAGAAAACTTAAAAAATACAGATCAAAGTGTCTGTTGCTATATTTTTCTACCATTTCATTTTCTCTCTATAAGATTTGGAATAGAATTTCTGCTGTAATTCACTCTGGTTTATTTACTTGTAAAAATACCCAGAAAAGCCTCTCACTCTTCTAGCACTACTAGTAGGTAACGCTGCACTGCCAAAGTAATATCCACTCTTGTGGTGCTTCAGAACTCTACTGTAAAATTTCAAATTGCCAAGATACTGGACTTGGAAAATTTGTCTTTGTAATTTTTGTTTATAAATATTTTTTTCTGCACTATAAATGCACATGCTCTCGACAGACTTTAAACATTAGTGATGTTCTGACTAATTCTAGTAGGTCATTTAGTCATGTTTTAGATGAGTTTATGAGGGAATATTATGGCAACAAATACAGAATAATGATCTACTTGCTATGAAGTGAATGTATGTAATATTGGTTATAGAATGCCTTGAGTAATTTCACCACTTGAAGGTCTGCATTGAACAATCTAAACTGATTGACTTAATCCATAAAGTTGATTAAAGACTGAAAGAGTTACCATCATAGCTGCTTGCTTCAGAGGTTTGCATCTGTAGCAGGAATTTCTGAGCTGCATGTGAAGCAGTCTTGGAACTGACCCTATTCATTACCCAGTTATTAAGATAGCTCCAAAGTAAGAGTAGTGCTTCTGTGTTGTAAGTTGCATGGTGCAAGGGCTGTTTCACATAGAATTCTCTCGTCTGTGCCAGAGGGCCAAATTCTGAGACAGAGGTGGTACGGATATCTGGGGTCATCACAAGCCAAGATCCTAAGATACTATTAAATTTATCTTTTTCTTCCTTGCAGTAATTGTGTGTTGTGTTTATATGCAAGAGTGTATAGAAGCAAGGCTTAAATCTGAATTAAAATCCAAGAAACAATGAGTTTAAAGAACCTGATATGTTACACTGTATATTGTAGTATACAAAGAGCATTAAGCAAAATATCTCTGTGGTGATTACAAAAAATCCAGATACAATCAGTGCAGTAAGGATCTCTTTACTTTCTGACTCCTTCATTAATTGGGATTCTGAATAAACATTTCACATGAGAGGAAAATAAAGACTGTACCCTAACTTCATTCCCATTTGCAATCTTTCTTCTTGAAAACATAGTCACAGGAAGGATCCAGAGATCAGCAAAGAGCTAATACACAGAGCGAAGAGAGGTATTCTGCATATTCCCATCCTCCTTAAACCTTCAGAAGTTCACCACCTCAGCTCCAGAGGACTAGAACACCTTTGATTGAGAGAGAAGCGTAAGTTTCCCTCCACAAGTGGTATGTTTTATACAATTAGGGGTATAATGCTGCAGTATGTGTGTACTCCGCCTCTGCAGTGTAGGACTGCACAGGCCCAGGTAGAATTACTTTGCTGGAGAGCAGTGCAGATGGATTAGGTGTCACACTTCACTATATGTGGTATCTTTATTAGCGATCACAGCTTTAATCACTCATATTGCTCTGTAACAATGTGCATAAGAAATCACAGTCAGCCCCTACCACGAAACAAGTATCAGGAGTGCATGCAGCATATGAACCTGCTCTTCCTCATATTGTTTTTATACCCTTCCCCAAAAGAAAGCAGTAAAATCTCTCAATACTGCAGAGTGCGGTCCAAATAAAAGTCATTCTTTGCCCAAATATAAGCAAATTTTCTGCTTTCTATATTTACAGAAAGATAAGGGAAAGATTAGTGCTTTAATGTTTCAAAATCCAAATACCAATGCAGTAAAAGTGTATTTGCAGCAAAATGCACATCTACATTGATTTGCAGCACAGAATAAAGCCATCCACTGCCTAACAATATAAACCTTCCTGAATTATACCCTTTTCTTTTATAAATATATTAAACTTGAATTTGTAAATTTACTATCTATGATTTGTAAGCATGTATATATATTTATATATATGGGTGGATATCTAACACAAATACGTATCCAAACTAAAATTGTAGTAGAACTGTTCGTCACAAAAGCTAAAATTGACTGAGCATGAGAAAGGTTTGTTCTGTGGTCTAACACAAGACTGAGAAATAAGTTGCCTAGACTTCAGAACCACTTGAAATGTCACCATATTTCCTCTGAAGCTCCAAGGTGCACTTTTTCCTTGCCTTCAATAACATAAACACGTTCTAGCACATACAGAACGAAAATATTTAAAACTTAAAATAATTTTCCTCTCACCTTTCCCTTAGGAAAAAAAAAAAGTGAAAGTGAAAACCACATACAACTTGATGCTCTCCGGGAAAGTATTGAACTCTGTTCCTAATGGAGATAGTATAACAGCCTAGCAAGACCGCTTTCTTATTGGATGTTACAGCCCTAGGAAACATCTTGTGAAATCTTGCTGCAAGATGAACTATGTGTATTTTGATATAACAAAACGTGTCATAAGGCATAACTTGAACTGAGCAAAACCAATGAGTAAAAGGAGACAAAGATAGCAAACCAATATTAGTCAACCAAGACAACTAATTAAAAATAAATATAACAACTAATATTTCTATTCAAAATGGCTTTCTCTCAGTGTTACACTATTTGCACTAGAAAATCCTAAATATTTCTGATTCTGAAGTAAGGACTATTTCTAATTTGTGAAAACCCATGTCCTATTGATCCTCATTTGACATCCAGCAATATTTTTTTCATAATGCTCATTTTAGTGCCAACATTCCAGAGTTTGATAAAGTTAAAATGCAACTTACGTAAATTATTTGGCGGAGGCCTTGTCTCCATGTTTTCATAATGTTGCACATGTACTACAATGTTTAGATCTCTTTCCATATGATCTGTTGTACAAGGGCCTTGAGGTCGCATAACATCAGCAAGAGCCCTGAAAAACAACAACAAAAACAACAACAAAATCAGAACGATGCTGCAAAATCTGTAAGGCATTACCAATATATCGTTTTTAGTTTGGGATGCCATCCATCATAATGTCTACTGGAGAAACCAGCTCCATTCACAGCAAAATCAGGGAATCAGATTCATTGTGAGACTTAGCACTTGAGGCTCTTTTTAGGTTGTTGTAGACAGTGTGCTAGCAGTAGTACACAGAAACACATTAAGTTCTTTAGCTGTCTTAGCTTTGTAAGAACATAATTTAAGCTTGTTGAGACTTGCAAAATTCTGCCATTGCATGTGCTCGGTGACACTGCCATGTTGGTTAAGCTGGATGCCTCAGCACCTAGTCCCTGTCTGTAGCTTTCACGAACGAGTTCTCTTCACACCTAGATTACTAGCAGGGCCTGCCAAAGCAAATGTTCACACGTGCATTTGCACGGAGCTCCAAACAATGCAGTGGTCTTGACTGTTGTCAAATTAATCAGAAATGTCACCAAAATTGAAAGATCACATGATTTTCATGTAGAAATCAAGTAGGCAAGAATTTAAGCTTTACCCATCCACAAGGGAGATCAAAAATGTCTTTTCTGATGTCTTGACTCATGTGAGTCTCCTAGTCACTAAGATGGAGCAAAGCTTGCACAGGCACACTCCTTGCTGCTTTGAAGCCAGTTCAGAAACAGGATAAAAGCTTTATGCTAGCAAAGAGGGAGCAAGCAAGAGGATTGCTAACAGTTAGGCCAGGCCCAAGCTGGCGCTGGTTGTGGACTTCTTCTGCAGAGCTGCAGGCATCAACTATATCTGAGACAGAGTCATCCTGCTTTGGTGTATTTTCTAAGGTCTAATCTCACTGCCAAGTGTCCTGCTGAGTGCAAGTCCATTATTCGGCATACGGATAAGCACACACACCTGTATCAGCCCTGTGGATCCAGAGTTGGTGACTAAGTTTTAAGTTCCAAAACTCAGCATGACAGCATCTCACTCTGTCTGTGATTCTGGGCTACAGTTTTACCACTGGCTTCTGAGGGAGCAGGATTAACCCTTAGGTATATGCCACCTGATGAACTCCTGTGCCA